TATATATATATATATATATATATATATATATATATATATACATACATACATACATACATCTGCTGTGCAGATCATTTTCCTTGGTAGTGAGGATAACATTTGTATTTGTTTAATCAATAAATCAACTTTTTTTTTTTTACAGTATATAGCGCTTCACAACAGCACCTGCTGAAGCTAAGTGCTTTCCATAAGTGCAATAAAAACATTTTCAACACGATAAATAAATAAGTGGGAGTGACTATATTCTAACTCTGTCCTTTTTACTCATTACATCTGGTAAAACACAGTAGGAGCTAGGAAATAACATGTTGCGGGAAGAAAATCACAAATAGATGCATGCAACAAAACTAAACCAGCCAAACCTGTAAGCTGTAGTTTCTTCACCTCCTCAATTTTTAATTCATCACTCCTCATTTCCTGCAGAGTGACAGGATATGATTATTTGGCTTATGTTATTTTTCTGGTAATGCCGAGGCAGTTTATCAGAAGCATTCTTTTAGATAACATAAAATGCAGTTGGGATTTTCTTTCAGACAATGAATGTAAACAGGCAATGAAAGCAGCTGGATAATGAGGTTTGGACTTCCAGTGCATGATTTCACAAATTACAAGTAAACAGAAAATATTCTCACCCCAAGGGAGTATTTATTTGTACTATCCTCTTCTTTCCCAGGCGATTTCTCTTCATTGGGGCACTTAGAGGTATTCTGGTCCTGGCACTGCCCCGGGGTATCAGAACCCTGCTGAGACTTTAATTCTGCACAGCCCAAAAGAACCTCAAAAAATTCCAGGAACACAACCTACAAGAGAGATTAGTAAAAACCCCTGTTAAAATTTGTTGTTTAGAGATACACACTAAGTCACAAGTTTGATTTAAACTGAGGGATGAGTTCAGTGGAAAGGTAGACCTCGAATTCAAAATGTTGAAACTGGCTGGAGCAGTCAGGGTTCTCTGCAGAAATGAGCTCTAGTAATTTTGTTGTGGTCAGCTGGTGATCATACAGCCTGAGATCCTGGAGTGGTGAGAATACATGAATTAATGCAATGCTTTAAATGTCTTAGTGACATTAGAGCATCGGTATGTGTGAACTTTGTTCCATTGTTGTTATAAGCAAACGTTATAAGAATTTGTTTTGTAAATGGAAATTTGACAAAAACATTTGGAAAGTATTTTCCAAATGATGTTTTTGTCAAAGTTCCATTTACAAAACAAGTTCTTATGAGCAAACATTATAAGAATTTGTTTTGCAAGAAACTTTTTTTGTTTTTCTCAGATTTTATCATTACAAAAATGTTTGGTTTATTTGGCAAATGTATTTTTGAAGAAGAGAATCTGAAAATTTTAAATCTTGAAAAATAAATCTGGGATAAGAACAATACTCTTAAAACCTTATTTAGATTAAAACTATTTTCTTTTATCTGAAAATTAAAAAAAAGTGTCAAAAAAGGTGGAATCCAGGGGTTCAGAGTTCAAGCCCCACTCCCACAGACTGCTACATTGGGTCCCTGAGCAAGACGCTTAACCCCACCCTGCTCCCCGGGCGCCGCACAATGCCAGCTCACTGCTCCCCAAGGGGAAGGGTTAAATGCAGAGAGTTGCAGACAGTGTAATGACAATAAATAAATAAAAAAGCTGAAAAGCTTATTTTGAAATATAACATTTAAATAAAAAAATGTAATGTAAAAAATTAAATATGAAAAATAAAATAGAAAAAAAATTGAAGAAACAATGTTACTCTCAAAACCTTTTTGGATTAAACTTTTTTTAAAGTTTAAGTTCTGGATCACCTTTTTTTTTCAAATTTCCATTTACAATTTTTTTTTTTTTTTTTACATTTAGCTTTACAAAATGTGCTCTTTTTAAGAACAATAATGTAACAATTTTTACTCCATTTCCGGGGTCGGTGGCATTCCTTAGTTAACCATTAGCCCCCCTGTGAGCACCCCTACCAGATGATTTGTGGCTACAATGTGGACCAATTCTCTGCTTCTGTAAAGCCTCTTTCCCACTTAAATCAACGGGTTACCTCTGGTTTTTCAAAGACTGGTCGACCCACTAACAATCTGCATTTCCATTTCGTTTTCAGTTTTACTTTGCCCCGTGTTTTCTAGTTTTAGTGGTTTAATTCTTATTTTTTTGTGTTCTCTGGTTATTTTTTCAGTTTTCTGGTTTTTATTTGTTGCCCTCTGCTGCTCTCTTGTGTTCTCCTTTTCCTCTGTCTGTTCTGTTCACACCTGCTCCCAATCTGCTCGTTAGTCCTCCCTCTGTTCAGTCTCCCATAAATACACTCCTTGTTCAGTTCTTCAGTGCTGGTTCCTTGTCTAACTTCCTCCAACTCCGTTTCTCTGAGTCTTACCTCGTCATGATTGTTTTGGTTTCTGCTTTGTTTAACTTTTTTTTTTTTTTTTTTGGATTCCTGCCTGTTGTTTGTTTACCTTGCATTAAATCTACAAAACTCACCTCTGCATCCCTGCCTCTGCATTTGGGTCCTCAAACCACAAGCAAATCATGACAAAATCTGATTGTAAATACATTTCCTTAACCAATAGTTAAATAGGTAATTCTGCTTTCCATTTCTTTTATCTTTTTCATTGTTCATTTTGAAATAATTTTTTTTACTCAACCCACTCCATTGGGCATATCTGTTAACCTTCTGATCCCTGAACACATGGAAAATTAAGTTAAACCAATCACAGTTGCTCTTCATATGTAACCAGCTCTCTTATTGGATATTCACACTTTCATCACAACACAAGGCTACAAAAAGATTTACGATTTTTGGGTTTTAAATCTACACTTTTTAAAATCGGATTTCTAATTGCATGATTTAAATGTATACGTTTAAAATGGTATTTTTATTATAATTTTCTCCCATAGTTATCGTCAGCAGTCTGTTAAAAATTTTGTTATTCAGTACAAATATACTAGTGTTGCAAATGTGTTAGTTAATATTGTAATGCTAAACAAATCAAACGTTAAAACATTTTAAATAATATCACACTATACTTTTGAACAGGATGTTTAACCTTTGTCAAACTGAATGAGGAAACAAGTTTTGAATGCCCTCAACTGAAATCAAATTAAGAGAATGAAGAAAAGAAGAAGGTTATGTATGGTATGTAGATGCAGCACCTTGAACATCCTCAGCAGCTGTCTGCAGGTCATGGATTTGTTGGCTCCGGGGGCTGAGTAGATCCTGCAGAATTTCTCAAAGATTTCCCAGCACCTGTTTGCATATTTCAGAGCCTCCACTGTTAGTTCTGGCTGCCGGAACAGCAAACCTGGATTAAGGCAGATGCAGTTTATTCAAATAAAAGTAATGTAATAAGAATAAGTAAACATGAATGATTAAATTGAAAAATGTTCCTGTGTAAGAATTATGCTATTATATGGAGATCTGTTCAGCAATACTTAATTAATGTGTTTGCTAAATTAATTTATTTCATTAGTTTTATTATTGTGTCCCATTAAAACATAAAAAAATTTACAATAACATTAATTCAATACATACATATTAAAAATACCAATAAATACTTGGTAAATTGTATAAATGTTGGTATTTTTACTGCATAGACCGCAAAATGTATAGAGAGCCATTTTATTAAACAAATACTACAGTAACTAAATTATGAATAAATATTTCAAAATAAACGCATTTTAACATCAAATAAAATTAAATGTATAAAACATATCTTGAAAAATTATGACAAGACTGAGGCACCCAAAGAACAAACTCTGCCCCCTTATTTGAATATAAGAACAAAAAATAAATTAAGGGGAAATAAAAAGAGGCTGTAAATAAAAACAGATTTTTAAAATTCTAAAAAAGGTTTGACAAAACAAAAGACCATTATTAAAGGGATAGTGGAGGATTTGAGCAAATTTTTAAAAAAACCCGCCCTCTCCACTTTAGAAAAAAAAAAAAATGCACATGCACAACCCTGTACCCACTCCCGAGAAGGAACACCTATTACGAGCGAGATCATCCACAAGCCAATTTCTCCTTGTGCACGCTCTGTTTAAAAGTTATTCTTTGCTTACTTTCAAAAAGAAGATTTGCAATTTTTCCACTATGTCAGACTCACCATGGGGAGGTGAAAATGGGGACGAGCATATAGAACGGCCTTAAGTAAACAAATGACCAGAATGATTGACAATTAGGAGCACCACTTATTTTGATAATCCACCCGGAAAAAGAACATCCTCCACTATACCTTTAAGAAAATAAATTAATAATTACATTTATAACTAAATACATCTTAAAATAAATAAATGTTTTAACCAAAATAAAATTATTATAAAATTAAATTCCTTAAAATGAATACACCTTAAAATAGATAAATACATTACATAAATATAAATAAATCTTGAAGAAATTGATAACGAAACAACTACTAAATAAGCAAACATATTCTGTATAGTGTGTTTTGGTTATTTGATGGATACGGTAATTTATAAAAATGTTATTACAGCTGTATGTTTTACTTATTTTAGGAAAATGCCTCTTCAAATGAGTGCGTTCATGTATTAATTCTTATCAATTCCAATTATTAACAAAATACCCCCCCCCCCCACACACATACATATATATGTATATATAAATATAAATATATATATATATAAATACATACATATATACATTTCCTCTGTCTAGTCAATATTTATCAATAAAACAACGTCCTCACCTTTTACGTTCATCGCATTTGGAAGGACGTCGTCCATCAGCATTTTGGATATACAATCTCTCAAACGGTGCTTTTTGGACCTGTAGATGGAAACGATGTAACCTTTAAATTTTTTTAAAAGTTACTTTCACTTCATCTTTCCTTTTTTGCTTTTGCCAAAATAAAAACAAAAATCAGCATTAAAGTGCGTCCAGATTTTTGACTACATGCAAAATGATACGTAGAATGAATCCTACACAACACACTGAACACACCATCTGTGATGAAAGACATGGAAGTGGCAGCATCATGCTGTGAGATGCTTTTTTTTGTAGGGACAAGAAAGAATTGTATGTTTAAAATAACAATAAAATTGATGTATCTTATCTCTAACTTCAGAATGATACTACTTTTGTAGATATGTCAGATAATTTTCCAATAAAAAGCAGAAATTACTTTTAGTTAGACACTGCATCTATCGGAAGGGATGTTTTCCTTACAGTAGATCTTTCCCATAGATGTAGTAGGACACAAGCACTAGCCACTTGAGAAACTTCCAAAGCTGCATGGTTGTGAAAGGAGAACAAGTCTCTGCTAAACCTTCTTCTTCTGAAATACAGAAAGAAAACGATAACCCAAACTTCCTCAACATCTGTTGAGGTTAATCAGTCCTGTAAATGTGGCTTTCACCTCTGATGAAGCTGTCTATCTGTTTCAGAGTAAAACCATGATGGTGGATATTGCAGTCCTTAAGGAAGCGCCAGAACTGCAGGCAGGACATCAGGACGAAGTCGTCAGGAGGACTGGAATGGCCAAGTCTGGCATAGAATCTATAAATATGCTTTAGCTCCGTGCGTTTCTCCAGCAACACAACCCTCACCTGTGACAGCATAGCAGCAGCATCAGAGAGAGAACACAGAGAACATAATATGTTGAAGCATTTAGAGGACAAGGCTAAGACTGACCAGTTCACTCTCAGTTTTACTGTCTCTGTTTGGGATCTTCTTCAAGATACAGTCAATGTTTACATCCATGTCAGAAACTGGGATGGATGGGTCATAATCTAACAGAGGAAAGCCACCTGTAAGGAAATATGACAACATTAAAATTAAGAAGTGTGTTTTAATGGACATTAAAATAACGTATTTATTTACCGAAAGCTGGTGGAGCTCCGTTTTCATCCAAGCAGGCTATCATCACATCGTCATCAAACTCACACTCAAATACACGCTCCATCTTTGTTGTGAGTTTTCCCTAAAATCCAGGATGTAAACATATTTTTAGAATTATCCAAAAAAAAAAATTTGGGATAATTTTAGATGTATTAAAACACAAGTGATAAACCCTATCCTGATAAATATCAACACACTTGAATGCAGCAGCCAACAACCGACCTAGTTGTGATGTATGGTCAGAGACAAATGTGCTTTTCTGAAACTCCAATAGTAATGCTCGGTCTTGGACACCAACATTGAGCAATGCTGTCGCAATTTCTGTCGCTAGAAATGTGTCTTTACAGAGCTATGGACATAAGAGAGTTGCGCCACTGGATGACAAGACAGATAAGTTGCAAGGGTGCCCGATGTAACGTTTATAGATGTTAATGATCAAAGACAAGTAGAGCAACCTGAATATAATTGGTTTTACTTGCATAATAGGTGTTAATTATAAGTGGATGTAGTTTTACAAATATGTACCTCTTTACATTTCCGTTTATTGTGTGCATTCTCCTATGTACAGTATAACTGTGCATGTAACAAGTAAGCTGTTTTATCAATCTTAAGCATACCTTTGAATTAATATTAATCAACGGTATGTAGAATTACAAAGCAAGATGTGATATTTTAGATTTGTTGTCTATTTTACTGTAGTTTAGTATAGTTTACTAAGGTCTGTTGAAATGCTAGGACAACCACAACCTCTGTGCAACAAGTAAAGAAAGGTGTTTTCCACACCCATGTGGGGTCGATAAGTGAACTGTAAGTGAGCCACTCTCCTTTTTAGACGGCACAGGGGGTTTATGTGCAGCTTATGACTTTTCACGGGCATTCAA